TATATCTTTACTATAAAGATATTCACCCTTAAGAGATGTGTTCCTTCAGTTTATGTGAGAGGAAAATGTTGCCGAAACAGGTAAATTTATAGAGCATAAATGGCCTTTGCCATCCACCTGTAACATAAATGGAAAGAAAAAGCACATGATCAGAATAATAAATTTGTATATTTTTCAGAGTAGAAGTTTAGGTATAAAAATTGTATTAGTGTAATTTCAAATATATGAGAAAAAAATCTGCCTCTACCAATGAAAAGTTCCCGGGCGGAGACAGATAATAATACCCAGAAAAAAAATATTTTTTAAAAACCTTGATAAAATTTAATTCGACTATAGCCTTACCCACCTGGTTTTGTTGTAAGCACCAGGAGCCATGAAAATAAACCCTTTTGGTGGCACTCCACCGAGGAACATAATGGCAAGATTGAGGAGCTCCTTGTAATCATCCCTTGGCTGATGTACCTGCAGATAGAAAAGAAAGAAATATGTGTTTCAATGTTATGAAATAAAATAAAATATCAGGAATAAATAAATAAATATATGAACACTGTCAGTAAATTTGACCAAAAAATGTAGGTAATTGGAAAGCTCTGATAAAAAATTTACGGAAAGTGGATGAATGGCATAATATGCGTGGTGATCATAAGATTACTTTGTTTTTATGAATAAAAATCTGAAATTACCTTAAGTTGAGCGGACGCAAATTTTATTATCTCATCTAACTCATCTCCAAGAGCGCTGATAAATTCTTTGCTGTCAATGGCGCTCTTAAAAGCACAATCCTTGATGTTTGGCCAAGCTACTTGGAACCGCATGAATAGAGGAATTTCAGGTCCGTTTGAGGGCCCCATATGAATTTCATAAACCACTTCCAGGATCAGTTCGGGAATGTGATGACGACAAGACAAATACAATAATTCGTGCCCGATGTGTTCTTCAATGAGTACGGCAACTCCATTCTTCGTTCCTAGAAAATGTAAAGTCATCATTTTTTTTTTCCAAAAATTATAAAAAACCGAACAAAATAATACCCTGTCGCAGAATGGCAGAGATGGAGGGAGGAGGCTAAAGAGAGAGATAGGAGGACAAATTATAGAACTTGCTAAAAAGTTGGTACTGCTGAAAAAGTTCGTAATTGCTGAGGCTCTGAAATGAAAATGCTACAACTCAAAAAATTATTATCCTACTATTTATCAGTAACAAGCTTGAAGATTCGGAGGGAGGTTTTCCCTGCCTCTCTCACAACTTGTAAAACTCATAACACGTTAATCATCGAATAACACTCACCGGTATTTACAGATGTGGTGTCGAAGGAAAGAGCCTTGACGTAGGAGCCAATATTCCAGTCTTGTACAGCTCCAAAAACTGCATCAGCCGTAGCTCGTCCGGTGCCATGACCCTTGGGAATCTTAGGGACCCCTAATAGCTGCTCAGTTGCGCCTGTAATCACAACTGCAATCCTATCAACAAGTTGTTTTCCAACCAGATCCGGAACGATTTTTCCATCCCAGTGAAGTGTTAGGTTATTTTCAGGGTGGAAATTTTCTTTTAACTCTGAGCATAGGGTGGATCTATTGGAACATCGCTTTCGTTGTAGTTAGCTAAAATTGACGTTATAGTCATTGATGTCCAATCCAAGGGCATGGATAGTAGCATTGATGATGGCAGCAGCAGCTCTGGAACTTACACCAAGAGCGTCACAGGTTGCAGTTAATTCAGGAGTCAATATGTCCCTTGTACCTCTTCGCGGCCTTTTTGGAGAGGGGCAGTTTTCTTCTGCGGGCAACTGATGCTCTTCATCATTGACACCTTTAAAAAAAATGAACATAAAAAATTGGCAGCAATATAATCTAGAGTCATAGGTACCAGGTCTGAGCTACGAGATTATGGCTAATGTGGACCAGTAATATACGAATCGTTGACTTCTTAGTCTTCTTCTTTTCCATCACGCGGCAACACGTCATTCCTGCAACCCGTATCTCGGCTCATATTGCATCGATTATCGTAAAGCTTGCTGACAAAGGGTATTTTTCGACGAGAAACTCGAATTTTCAGTCGCTTTTTCAAAATTCTCAAATCTAAGATGGCGGATGAGGCCTAAAATGCTATTGCGGCTCCTATTGCGTCGATTTTCGTAATACTCGATATCAGGGGGTATTTTTTGACGAGAAACTCGAATTTTCAGTCATTTTTCAAAATTCGCAAATTCAATATGGTGGATATGGCATAAAATGCTATCTCGGCTCCTATACCACCGACTTTCGTAAAACTTTGTACCAGGGGGTACTTTTCAACCAGCAATTTGAATTTTTAGTCCAATTTTCGAAATTCTCAAATCCAAGATTGCGGATGAGGCCAAAATTGCTGTTTTAGCTTCTGAAATTGATAAATTCACCTTTGTTGAACTTGGTCTCGTTGTCTCAAGTAGCAGAGTTGTGCTTAAACTCTCTCGTCCGGTCAGATTAACGTTTCATTTTATTTGCGGCGGACCGTGAATCAACCAAACGCAAGCTGTGATGACAGAAGTTGCTTCGAACTACAAAAAATATCGATAAATATGAATAGTTTTTTAAATTTTTTTTTGTGTATACCTTGCGTTTTCCTGATAGTAATGTTGAAACAGGAGGAACCTTAAATTAATGTCAGTAAATTTTACTTGGCATCTATTTTTTTTAGGCGAATTTATTTTAGGCGAAGAATGTTTATATTTTTAGCTTTGCAGCTCATATTTACATGGAAATGTTTCCGGCGGAACTAAAATAACTCACAATTATTTTAAAGCGTTTCTATAATTCGTTCAGTAACTAAAAACCAGGATTGACCGGAATGTGACTATGCAGATATATGCTTATGGCGCGCTCTTCCAACACCATGTGTTGGGTTTACCAGCTTGTTTACTTTTGTCATCGTGTTGCTTTCGCTGAACCCCTCGTCCGCGGATGGCGGGAAGAGGGGGAAGGTGGGTTACCACGTTTTTCGAGAGTCCCGTAGATCAGGATTATTTTGTTCCGCGAGATCATTTCCGTTTTATACTCTAGGAACTTTCGGAATAAAGCGAGTCTGCACTTGCTGTGCAAGTTATGAAGCTCCTATATTTCTTAATGTTAGTGCTCGTTTTGTTGGTCAGTGGAGGTATTTTTTCGCCTCTTATTCTCTTGGATAGACGTGCACCAAAGAATAGGCCCACTCAGCATGATATATCTTAAAGCAATGTTGTTATTTGCTGACATATGTTGATGTAATGTTACTAATACGGATGGAATGTTAAATCAGTATTGTCAGGATAAGACTGACAATATCAACATTAATGTAAGCTTGATAGACCGGCAATCAAGGAGATGTCAAGAAGTGTCAACCTGATAACAATGTTGACGGGGGCATATCAATATTATGTCAGATTATTGTAATGTTACTTCAACCTTACTTTCAATGTTGTTGCAATGTTCAGACAAGTCCCTGGCAGTAGCACATCAACATTGATGCAATCTTACCCCATTCTTACTAAGATGGATATAATATGGCTGCAATGTTGATGTGTAAGATGTGCAATATTATACTAAGATTGTATTAAGGTTCTATGCTGAGTGGGAGATAGCCTCATAAAGAGATTATGGACACTTCGTCCCATGGAGATTAATATAAGGCCCAAAAAATGGCGGCAACTCTGACGACAGGGAGTTAGTGTGTTGCAAATCTTTGACGGTTGTTATGGGCTGCACTTGTTGCCATGTTGCCTATCTTGACATAGTGTAAGTCTAATAATCGGTTGAACAGATAATTTGAAATGTGTTAAGTAAAATTGGTATCGAAACTGAGTGAATTCGTCAACAATGTACCTGATCCAGGTGAATACAAATCAATACAATATCAATACATCATCAGTACAAATCAATACAATCCTGAAGGTGATACAAATCAATAAAACCTCATCGCCATCTATCGTTTTAAATTATCTGAATGCAATATTCGCCTTTTTCTTTCTTTCGGTTCCCCAAAGCTCATCGTAGTCAGCTATAAGGAGGATAGCTGAGTCAAACAAAAATAAAGCTTCCAATGGCCTTATACTTTCAGTTTAAAACAACTGTAATAAGAAGCCATCGAATCAAAGGTTACGTTGTCTAATCCTGAAAGCACCTATACTGAATAAATCACAATTCAAAAAACAAATTTAAATAATTTGTTCTCAAAAAATGTTTTGAAAAATGCAATTTTTCAGTTTCCCGCCACTACAAGATAGGATCGTGAATTAGATTATTTCAGTATGAAAATACAATTTGATTGAGAAAATTGATACTTCATTAGGTAACGGGAATTTGTAGAGAAAAATGTTTCAACATCATTTTCCCCTTCATTCAGCGTTCAATTAGGTTAGCTACTCTCTGAGGCCTAACCTATATATATATATATATATTCGCTTTATAACGCACTCTGGCGTTCTACGACACCCAAACGCCACATATGCCTGTCTTCCCAGAGGTTATCGGGCAACTGACAACGCAACATCTCTTCGTCAACGCCCTGCCGCCAACCCTTTACGGGACGTCCCCGTCGCCTCTTCCCAGGTGGTACCCAATCCAAAACTTGTTTGGGCAACCTCTCCTCCGACATTCTTTGCACATGTCCATACCAGCATAACTGCCTGGACACGACGTCGTGCACGATATCTTTCTCAACCTTCATCACCTGGCGAATTCTCTCATTACGGACACGGTCCCGTCTCAAAATGCCGGTAGATCGCCGCCAAAAATCCATTTCAGTTGCCCTCAACATTTCTTGCGTTCTTTTCGTCAAACATTTAGTCCGTATGGGGGACTGTAATGTCACAGGTTTAGCAATCCTGCGGACCCCAGCTGGTAGCCCCTGCCTCAAAGGGGGTGGGTAGACAGGGCTCTTAGCTGTGGTGGAAGCAACCTGTCTAGGAGAGGTAACTCCGAAATCAAACCCTGGTCCTCCAGGTTGGGGGTTGGGGCATCGGGCTGACTCCCCGATCCTCGGAAAAAATGTACAATGTCAAAAAACCCAATAACATATGCCTCGGTAACCATGGAAATAAACGGACTCTTCGACTTAGATTACGGAAAACGACACTCGCTTTTGGTACTTGGAATGTGCAAGGCATTTCCAAGAAACTGACGGAAGTGGTATCGGAGGTAAAGAACAACGAGATCGACGTGGCGGTTATAACGGAAACGAAGAAAAAAGGCCACGGATCAGAGAGCCTTGGGGACTATGATTTATTCTACAGTGGAGTGCCGAAACATCAGCGTGCACAACAGGGTGTCGCAATTCTGATCCGCAAAAAATTTCGAAAAAATATTAAGAACTGGGAAGCCATCAACGCTCGCATGATTAAGATGAATCTAACTATGCACGGTCACAGAGTCACTGTTTTGGGGGTATACGGGGTCAATGATGATGCTACCATTGCACTTAAGGATCAGTTTTTTGAAGAACTGGACGAGGAGGTAGTGAAGGTAGGACCTGGGAGAGAAGTCCTTGTGTTGGGAGATCTAAATGGAAGAACGGGATCCCGGATGAACAGTAAAATCGTCGGCCCGTTCGGTGAAGTTATGGTGAACGACAACGGAAGCCGCATTATCGACGTTTGCGAGCAGAGGGAATTAAAAGTATTGAACGGGTTCTACCAACACAAGGATATTCACAAATATACTTGGGTCCAACCTACCCGCGGCTTAAGATCCATCATTGACTACGTGCTCGTTAAACAGGTAACAAACCTGAAGATCCAGCAGGTGAGGGTATGTAGAGGACTCTCCTGCGGTAGTGACCACTATTTCCTCAGAGCGGATGTAGCCTTTCCCGCTCGTGTGTCGCAGAACGATCAAGGCGACAATCAACAACCGGAGCGACAACGCGAGCATCAAGTTCAGTATAACATCGATAGCCTAAAGCACCCGAGTGTCAAGGCTCTGTACGCAAAGCGCCTGGATGAAAAGTTAGGAGATGGGTGCGATGGCAGTACGGAAGAGCGGTATGAATTTATTAAGAATTGCGTTCACTCGGCGGCAGCGGAGGCCCTGGGGGTTTCTGATCAAAAAAATGATAACAGAAAACCGTACTGGTGGGATGCGGAGGTAGAGGAGGAAATAAATGTGAAAAGGAATAGGTATCATCAGTTTCTCTCTTCCCAAAAGTTGGATGGTAAAATCATGTACAGACAGGCTCAAGCAAGAGTCCGTCGGGTAATCACTCGGAAGAAGAATGAGGCTTGGGAAGAAAGCTGTATGAAGATAAATACCTACCTTGGAGGCCGTAAAAGTACGGAAGGCTGGAAAGTGATCAAAGGCTTGCGACGGAATAAAATGCGCGACATCATATCTCCGATACCAATTGACAAGATGGAGGACTATTTTAAATTATCAAGTACAATAAGAAAAAAATTATGCATTTCTAAAAAAAAAAAATATGTATTTTTTATGTATGACCCCGACAAAATTAGCATATTTTCTCCCCTTACTTTTTTACTAACCATTTGTGCGATTACAAAATTGCTCAGCGCTTACTGCTAACTTGTCGCACTTTCAAGCTAATTAATTATTTCAGATTGATCATGGGCTCATTATAAGGGCTAGAAACAGGCTTCCATAAAAACTAATTACGTTGTAGATAAATGCAGTTATTTTTGCAAAAAAAAAGGGGAAAGGAGGATTCAAATGTCTTAACTTTCAAGAATTTACTTTAAGAAATTTACAAAATCCAAACAAACCCTTCTTTTAGTAAAAGAAAAAAAAATAAAGTTGGGAAAGAATATAATCCCTGATTTTCATGAAGCATGAAAAACGATAAGCAGGTTACCTTGTGACGCGGGTGAAAAATAAACATGGCACACTTCACTGAACATTGAGCCCACACTGCTCGCATGTGACTTGTATTTGCTTCCCTGGAGAAACTGTTTTCCTTCTCGAGGAAAAACAATTCCTTTTCTCCAGGAAATATATTCTCTCCTCCACGGAAAAAGAATAGTTTCCCTGGAGAAAAAAACTTCCTCCCATGGGAGTAGTATTTGCTTCTCAGCGGAAACTTTTTCCCGAGGGAAAACAACTATCTTCCTACAGGGAGAATATTCTTTTCTCCAAAGAAAATAAATAGTTTCCCTGGAAAAAGATATAACCTCCCATGGGAGTCATATATCCTTGTCAGGAGAGATTCTCCTTTCTTGGCTGGGTCATTACTTTTTTCTGAGACCTTACATCGGAAAAGAAACAATAAGTTTTACTTGCAGTGACATTAACGAGTTTTCCGTTTCCAGATTGCGAAGGGAAGATCACCCCGCTAATCCACTTCTAAGCGATATTTGGATTACTCAAGTATCCAAGACTCAACTCTTCGTTCCGATTGACATATCTTATTGGCACGTGATTTTTTTCAATTCCAAAACCCTCCGGCTTCCGGCATTAAAAAGAAATCTGACTTCTGTGATTCCAAGAAGTGTGTATGGCGAGGTTGCTGCAACACTCCGTAGAGCCGAACTAGGATCGATCTTCTCGGACGGGGATCGCTTCTTTGCTTGCATTGAGACAACAGCTAATAGGTGCCTTTCAACAACGGTTGTCGTCGAGGTAAGGCAAATGGTCGAATTCATATATTCACCGCAAGGTTCCCTGTTAAAATTTTATTTTTGATGAAACGCCTCGAGAGATGAATGTCCCTTTGGGTTCACAACGTTAGGTCATTGGGTTTGTGGGATTCCCTTTCATTCAGGCGAGCGTCCTCCTAACGTCTTCATAAGGCGTCGTCTACGTTTTATAAGTTTCTTTGCTTCTATGAAAGCCTCGAAAAGAGGATATAGGGAGACCCTTGATACTGTTTCTTTTATAAAACGTCAAAGACCTATATGAAAACCCTCTCCAACGGCTGCCTCTTTACACTTCGTACATCAGACATATCCTGTTACATCTGTTCCAGGCGTTGCGATCTATCCCACATAGCACAGAATATTGATATAATACTACAATAGTACTGACACGTCAGTAGTGTCAGTATTTATAAAATGCTGATGTATCCTGATTTAATATTATATCAAGACTATGCCAGTATTTATTAGTTACTGATTTGGAGCTGTCAAAATATTGTTACAGTATTGGCCGAAAAGGTTGATTTCATATGGAAATCAGGGTTATGACAAGGTCATCAGAACACTGCAGGACACCGACAATATGTATGCGTTACTACCTTAACACTGACACGTCTGTACACTCAGCGCACTCTGTCAAGTAGATATGAAAGTTCAGACGATGACCGTCATTTTCATAGTACTACACATGTATTACATTTGAAACATGAATTACACAAGTATACAAGTATTGAATATTATAAACCACTTACTTGATGTCCTGCGACGTTTAGTAGCGTAAAATACCCGGACGTTCTCAGGTGGATTTGAACCCGAACCGCGGAATTCCTAGCCCAGTATTCTGCCATTGAGCCACAAGGAGCTGATGGTGTTCCGGGTTAAAATCACGCCTGTTAAGGCTGTTATAGCATGCATAGCATCAGTGCGCGGCTCGACTTTCATCATAACTTTGATTAACACCGTGTTTTCTTAGGCTTCTTTTTCTTCCTATATTTTTTTTTCATTTTTTCGTGTTAATTTCTTTTCGTGTTATTTTTTTTTACCTCGTCAGCATTGACTCAATACTGTTGTTTGATATATTGAAGGTATCAGTGTTATATTCATGCTGACGCGGTGTACCTTTTAACCGACAATCTTAATATCATACTGCATTAGTGTTGATGATATCATGTCAACATCCAACAATATGTATCAGTATTGACATAAGATTCTGCGCTATGTGGGATAATTGAGTGTTCGAAGAATTTATACAGAATAAAAAATTTCGATTCACGTCTCTACTATTATTTGTCGGACGGCTCCCCAAAATGGAAGGTGGCTACGTTTCTGGAAGTGGGGAGATGGTAACGTCGTTGCAGAACTATATCGTATCAACCCACCCCTCGAATTTTAACGAGAACCTTAACCAAGAAAAACAACATATAACACTGACCGGCCAGACTCGATGCCTCCCTCCGCCGGCGCAGGGTGAAAGATGGCCATCAGCCTTGTACAAGGGAATCTCCAATTTGAAGCTGCTGAATCCGCCTCGACAATAATGTTGGCAACGACGACGACGATGCGGGTCCTCCTCTAGAACGCCTCCTCCCCAATCAGGAGACCTACAAGCGGGTCGTAAGTAACAGATTCTCCAACATCCTACTAATATCATTTTCTTCGAAACGAAAAATCGCTGAGGGAAGACTACTTCCCTCGTCCTTCGATGGTAGTTAGGTATATAGTTATCTCGAATAATGTCGTTACTTGGCGAAACTTGATTCTAAATTTAAATGGTCCTTCACTTCTACCGGGAATAACATAAGTTGTTTTTTTCAAAGGTGTGTATTCGGGAGCGGAAGTGAAGAAGATGATGAAGGGCCTGGAAAACAGGATCCTAAGAAGAATGGAAGAAAGGTTGGAATCTACGCTCACCTTACGCGGACCAGCAGCACAATAAAGCGTTCAATGACCAGCCACACAGTCAAGTTCTCAACGACCGGCCACACAGTCAAGTGCCCAAGAGCGACGAAGCACAGAACCGAAAAGAGGAGAGAGGCAGGAGAAACCGTCAACTTCAGTTTTGACAGGTAAACACGTCAATTCCTTTCTACGCTTAAAGGCATTTATATCCCTCGAGTGGCAACCATTTACTTTGTTTGACAGGAACAAAGTCAATAAATAATGAAGAATCTTAACAGAGGCACTTAAGTGCCTCTGTTAAGATTCTTCATTATTTATTGACTTTTGTTTCAGGAAAAAAGAGACCCAGGGACGATCAAGATTGCCATGAAATAGAGGATGTACCCAACGATTCAAACTCCGAAGGAGAGACAATTCCGGCAGTGACTAGAAGAAAGCACACATTGGGAGCCCATTCTAACGACGACTCAACGAACGCGTCGACTAGTTCAAAGGAGCCATCCTCCACGATGAGCCTTGACGAAGCCGTCATTTCTATTAGATCCCTCAGCAGGATTGTCCACAAGGTGGGCTGGCTTAGTTCCCTTGGAACCAAGCCGAACGGAAAAGAACATTGGACCTAGACTGTCAACAAGTAGAGAGCAATTAGGTGTACATGAGGAATACGTTTCCCAAACTACGGTCGAAGACGAATGACAGAGAAAAATACCACCCCAAACAGACTCTGTCAACGTGGTCTCGGATGCCGATTTACTGGAAGCAGTTCACCGACAGGTGCAGCAAGGAGGGAATGAAGCTCTTGTGTACTCTTCTGAATCGGAGTCCGGGGATTCCTTTAAAACTGCCGCACCGCTCCGGTGCCTGTATTCGAGGGGCCCTCTTAACGTCCCGGGCTTAAGGAATAGCCTTGTGGTTCCATCCCCTGATACGGTGGCACTAAACACGCCCCGGAAGGTAAGAGGAAAACACGTTCCAGGTGGCGGTGTATTAAAAAAATCATTTATTTCTTACGTAACGACAATCATATGTCGCTCCTTACTTGGGGAAGGAACCCAATTACGACCAAACAAATTATTAAAGAAACTCGTTTTCAGATGGTAGAAAGGTGAAGACTGAAAACATTCCTCTTGCGGCAACCCAACATCCTGCGGCACACCGTGCATCGTGTGGATCAATCACAGCTCATCACTCACTGAATCACGCAAAGCACTCTGGCGGCGTAAAGTGGTTCTAGATCTACACATTTCAAACGAGCACGCTGCGTCCGCCGCGCGCAGACTTATGCGCACCATACACAAACTACGTACTTCCTGAAAAAAATACGTATTTTTTACGCATTTTACGTACCGACCCGTTAATTTAAGTACATTTTACGTATTTACGTATGTTTACGTATCAGTAGACACCCAGATAAAATCCCCGGCACAACAGAGTGCAGGGTGTGCGGACGCTACGATGAAACGATTGACAACGTGGTTTCGGGGTGCCCTGAACTAGCGAGGCAAGAATACACTACCAGGCACGACAAAGTGTGTGCGCAAGTGCAAGTTGAAATCTGCAGAAAGCTGAACGTAGCAGTCGAGGCGAAGAAATGATGTGACCACTAACCAAAGACAGTGATGCAAACATTAGACCAGTGGCGTGGCGTACTTTGCGATCTATCGATATTTCTCCGTTTGAAGCTCGGTGGCGTGTAAAAATGTAAAACGTATACATATGTTAGATTTACTACGCCTCTCTCCCCTCATTGAGAATTGTTCCCCCTCTCCCACCCCTTAATGCTAAGGACTATTGTTTAGGCCCGCGAAAGGTGTACCTGATATGTACCATAATGTAAAAATTAAGAGAATAAAGGATATATAATAATAATAGACCTCAGGGGCGATATCAATGTTGTACGGGAGGCCATTTCGAGGGCTAGCGACCCCACGGTACTCAAGCAGACCTCAGGGGCGACATCAATGTCGTACGGGAGGCCTTTTCGAGGGCTGGCGACCCCGCGGTGCCTGAGCAAGTGGTTGGGCGTTTTCGTGGCCAACACATCAATAGGGGCGTCCGAGGAAGTAGAGTCGGGCTTGTCCCAACATGAAAACCAGCTGCGCATCCTTCGCTGGGGGTTTGCAGCCCCCAGTCAGTGATCTTCTTGCACAAGACGATAAAAGAAGAGCCTCGGTCGCTTCAAGGGTTCGGGAACAGGGCGCGCAAAATAGTCCCCTTGCTGGAAACGAAATGGTCGTGGATCGTCTCAGTGTATGGCACGACGGCCAACCAACAATACCAACCCTGCTCAAAGTGTTTCGTCGACTATTCAGTTGGCGACCACTGAAGCAGGGAAACTCAGGCAACGCATGACTTAGAGTCTAAATATGAATCAACACGTCATGCGTTGTTATTACTTCACATCTAAAATGGAAACGATTCCTGGATACCGGGCGGATATGCGGAAAATTTTTCTTGATAAGTTCCCTGATCGCGAAAATGTTTCAGGGCAGCGCCTAATGGACCAAAAGTGGATGATCCTGAAGTCTTGTAAAATGTCTGCCCATGATCTGCAGCATATCAAAGATGATGTTCAACTTGAAATTTCTCTCGGTGAATGTAAAGGTGACGACAATGTAAAAGAGGCTGATCACGTGTCAGTTCCTTGCGCAGACGATCCAGTGGAACAGCGAGACAGTGGACCGAAATTACCCGCTGATGAAGGTATCGTACATGCGGAGCAATATCATGAGTGTACAACTGATACTCCTGACGAGAATGTTGTCAAAGCTGATACGCTAGAGGTTGCATTTATTTCCAAAATGATCAAATGGCAAGGAGTCAGCCCAAATCTTAGACAGTCACTGCCAAAACTTCTTTACACTCCTAAGTTGTTCGCGGATATTGAGACGATGAGCCTAATTATACCAGCCCACATTTGTCAAGAATCAACACTTGAGGAGGTTCATTGCATCATCTATTGTGCAGCTCAGGCGAGAACACAAGCCGTTAAAGGCCCCAATAAGCTTGAGCAAGGGGAAAACAAACTGAATGCACCAAGATGGCAACTTAGGATCGAATGAAAGTGGCTAACATAAGGCAGGAGATTGAGAGTCACCCAGTGTGTCAAGGGGAATGCTTCTAAGAAGGTGAGGGCGAAGCTGGCCCATGTGAATGAGGAAAACCTTTTAACCCACCTTGGTACACTGAAGCAGAAGTGAGAAGTTCAAGCTGCCCGACTAAGATGATATAAAAAATCATACCAGCGCCATATAGTTAAATCGAAAGAGATAAGCGATTAGCTGTTTCAGTGAAATGAGAGAGGCTTCTATCGGAGGATGGGAAACGCCGCGAATGTAAGAAACGCCCCAGAAGAAATACCATCGAGAGATGATGTAACGCGATTTTGACGATCCATCTGGTCAGAGGCCAAGGAGAATAACAGCACAGCTCCTTGGATTGAGCAGGGAAGAGTGTGTCATGCCCACATTACACATGAAGATGAGGTTGAAATCACAAAAGAAGATGTGTGGAGAGCAACTTTGCATATTCATAAGTAAAAGGCTCCCGGACCAGACAAAGTTCACAATTTCTGACTGAAAAAGTTAGCGTGTGTGCATGCGCAACTTTCAAGGAGCATTCAAGGTATTATTACTCATTCTGATAAAATGCCAATATTCCCGACTGAAGGAGTGACGTTTGCAAAACACAAAGGAGGCGATTCCAAGGACCTACCAGAGCATAGACCGATCACATGTCTCTCCTTGCTTCATAAAGTCATCGCATCCATTTTTTTTTTTTTTTTTTTTTTTTTTTTTTTTTTTTTGGGGGGGGGGGAGTTTTGTGGCTTCTATTCCTTGGTTCAAATTTTTTAGGAACCTACAGCCATCTATTGACAAATGAGGTTATTTCGAGCTGAGTAGGATTTGAAAGAGTAGGAATGTAATATTGGACATTTTTAGGATTTTTAGGGAGTTAGATGGGGAGATAGTAGAAGTTAGAGACCCCTACACCAGCTTCATGCTAAGAGGCTCGACATAGCGACTAATAAGAAGATGATTGACTGAGCCATGGAAAACATACCAAGTGAACAATCAAGACTAATTGTTTGGTAGGGCATGGAAGGGTTGTATGGACAGTTGTATTGGACAAGTGGAAATTTTAGTAGTTATGGATTAGGACCTTTAAAGGGATATGTTATTGGTAATTAGGAAGTTATATATAATTTTATATTTTCTTAGGGAGGGTTTATGCATTAATGAAGCTATATTGTAGGGGGGGGGGAATATTTTAGATTTCTTAAGTCTTGAATCATTTTATCTCTGTCTTTTAGTTTTTCGCAAAAGAGAATATGATTTAGGTCGCCTAGCAGGCCTCATTCACACTTATCAGAATCTTTAAGGTTTAAGCGTTTAAGGTGAGTTGGGGATAGACCATGTCCTATACGCAATCTTATGATGTTCTTACGGAATTATTACTACAGGATCTGTTCCAATAGAATTTGTGGAACCACGGTTTTTTTGAGATTTTTGGTTGGATTAGTTTTAGTTTTTGCCCTTCCCAAGTGCAGGCATTCAATTCTAGGTCCCATTCTTTCGGCATATTCATGTTTATTACTGGTAGCAATTAATTGTAATGGAGTTTATTGTTAATTTTATTAGCTAGTGGGAGGATTTTTGTTGGAGCATCTGCTTTTTCGTTGCCAGGAATGCCAACATGACTGGGTATCCATAGCAAATGGATATTTTTGTTTTGATTATTAAAAAGGAGCCTTTTAGTGTTCAATAGGGTAGGAGTTAGATCATTTTTGCAATTTAGGAGGGTTGTTAAAACGCCTTTAGAATCAGAACATATAAGGAGATTTTTGATATTATTTTTAATAATGTATTTCACGGCTTCTTCTATGACAACAGCTTCAGCATCAAAAATTGTAGAATGTTCAGTCTAAATAATTTGAAAAAGTCATTTATTGTAAAGACAGCAGTTACATACGTATCTGTTTTCGCTCCATCTGTGAATATTTGAGTCAATTGGTTGAACTTAGTATTTACGAGGTCTCGGAATTTGTTACAAATTAGGGATTGATTTTCAATTTCGTTTTTTTTTTAATATTTAGAAAGTCGATCAATGGTTGGAAGTATTGGAAATTAGGGTCTTGACATATTGATGGTGGTAAGCTCACCTTAGAAATCTCATTCTCGTATATTTTTATCTTAAGCCATCTATGGATAATTAGAGGGAATTGTTTACTTGACCACCAGGGGCTACTAAGGACACACATTTCCAAGAGTTTAAGGTCATGAATGATCGAATTATTTTCATAGCTCATAGCTTTTAGAATTAGCTTATCTGTTAAGTAGTTGAACCTATGTTGGATAGTGGGGATTGCTG